GGAATATTATTCAGCCAGGAAAAGGAAAGTAATCCTGCCATTCATGACAGCCTGGACGGACATCAAATGTCCTCCCTTTAAGTTTTCACTATAACTCTTAGCAGAGTTGCTAATACCTGAGAATGCAACATACTTTTTTAAATTTTCATCTTGTTTAGTTTTATGTAAACAGGTATCTGGGCTACATGTGTGTCTGTGCACCAACTGGATTCCTGATGCCCACAGAAGTCAGAAGAGAATGTTGCATCACCTGAGATGGGAGTTATAGATGCTTGTGAGCCACCATGTGGGTCCTCAAAGATTATCCTGTGCTCTTAAAGGATGAGCAATCTTTCTAGCTCATTAACCAGCATTTTAAAAACTATGTCCCCGACCTTCATCCTGTGGGCAATCATACAGATAATATTTTGCTTTTCACATTGATTCCCTTCCTATATCCCCATCTGATTTACAAAGACATCCAAATATCTGCTTGCAACTGTGCTTAAGTCAGGGATTAGCAAAGAGTGGCCATAGGCTAACTCCAACATGCTACTTGAGTTTGCATGGCCCATCATCCAAGAAAGTGTTTGATATTTTTAAATAGTTGCAAAACTCAAAAACATATTTTCTGGGCAATGGGGCAGTGTATAGGTTTTCTATTTTGCTTTCCGTAAATAGGTGTTTATTTGCATACATCTTCACCTAGTGTTCCTGGTGGCTTTTGAGCAATTTAGGCATGGTGGCAGAGGCTCTGGTGTTAGGAACGCTTACAAGAGTCACTAGATGACCCTTTGCAGAACAAATTTCTCAACCTGTGTGTAAGCCATTCTCTGCACCAGTGTCAGTTAGTGACCACTAGGCTTTACTGACATAAGCAACCAGCTGTGGCTCCAAGTCCTCTCTTGGCACTTTTTCTACAAAAAAAAAAGTTCACTTTGGCTGTGCTGCTGGTGATACATTGTAGGTAACACAGCCATGCTGGTTGGGTGTTTCATGTACAGCTGATTGGAGGCTGAACTCTGCCCCTAAGCCTCTGGAAACATAAGGTAGCCTTGCTTTATCACAGTCTTCCTACTTGATGTCTGTGATGTCACTTGAAGATGGAGGGTGACAAGTTCCACTCTGTCACTAGCAAGCATGTCTATATCCATCTTTCCTGTAAGGCTAGGTTCCCATCTGGGCACAGTATGAGAATGCATGTTCAACTTGGTAATTTTAATAAGTTGCGTATTAAATCAATATGGTGGGTGGGGTAAGGTGATACATGCTAAGAACAGATGAAAAATCTTTTTCTTCCTCTCCCCCATCTCCTGAATAGTTCAAAATCAACAAATAAGAAAGGCTGTAGCTGGGCATGGTGGCACACACCTTAATTCCAGTTTGAGGCCAGCTATGTCTACAAAGTGAGTTCCAGGACAACTAGGGTGGTTGTGTAAAGAAAACCTGCCTCAAAACAAACAAATAACAAAACGAAAAGGGAGAAAAGATAAAGAAAGGCTGTGAAAGTTGCCATTGGCTTGGAAAAAGGTGTCATGGGGGGTCATCATTTCTGAGCTTAGGAGTCGCGTTTGCCAATCAGCTCATAGACGTCAAGTCTCACATTTCCTCTGCACAGCTGCCTTCTCCAGGCACTAAGGCAAGTCATGAGATTGGTGACTTTCAACTGGGACTTTGGTATAGGGACAGTCGTCTGTGGCTTTCACAGGACACATGGGTTGGTATATAGTTTTATCATCTGAACAACACATGTTTAGGGAACATGTGGTTTCTTCTACCTACAAAAAGCTGGAAAGGACCAGAGTTCTAAAACCAATGCTCCTAGGCCTGCCCTTTCTCCCTTGGTCATCACCTTTTATGGAAATAGGATGGTAACAGAATGATTCTGGTCCTGTAAGATAGAGAGGTGAATACCCACAATTCATTCTCCACATCATCTAGACGTTAGTGAGTTACCCACCAGTCACCAGTAAGGACATTTGTGCCTCTCAGAAGCTAACTGAGAAACACACTAGAACCATCATCACCTCTACCCTCTTTGACTCGGACCCTTTAACTTCACATCTGGAAAGTTCAGTTATGAAATAAAAACAAAGGCTTATATGCAATAAGGTTTATTGCTACAATAGAGCAAGAGCCATAAATAATATAACCCCAGATAAATACATGGGAATGGATGATCCTATTCTCTTGATGAAATATGACGAAGTGATTAAAGATGACGTTCACTCACAGAACACCATGTCACAAAGGGCAGAAGAAATGGGAGACTCTTGTTAAAAATGAAGCTAGCTAGCAGTAGCCAGGCAATACTGATGCTGGCGCAGGGAGATGGAGCTATGAGAGGACAGAAAATCTATACTCAGGTTTGCAGCTTGGCAAGGGAGAGGCAGGGGAGGGGCTTGGTTGGAGAATAGGGTGTCTGCTTAGGAGTAGAGCCAATATGTATGCTGTGACAGGGTGAACCAGCATAGTTAATGCAGGAGCTGCATTAACTCAGGATGGCTTCCCTGGTGAAGGGATGGGACTGGGCTAGGGGACTGAGTCATTGTGTGTGAGGGATAATGCAGGTTCAGAGGTACAGACTTAGGATATGCTGGGAAGCTCACTGAGTTAAGGTGATGGGGAAGGTGTATAAACCACAGGAAAAGAAAATTGAATTTTGACCTCAAGGCAAAGATTGATATTTGCTGTGTCTGTGACAAATATGTGTATATAGATGGGGTTTATATATACACATGTGTGGAGCCCAGGGGTGACCACTGAGTGTCATCATCGATCACTCTCTACAGGAGCTCTCACCAGTTGTGGAGCTCACCCATTCAGCTCTGTTGGCTTACCAGTCAGTCCCAGCAAACCTTGCCTCCAGGTCCTCAGAGCTAGGAATGAGGAGTACACCACCATGCCCAACTTTTATGTGGGTCCTGAGGACCCAAATGTTGCTTCTCATTCTTGCACAGGAAGCTTTTACTGACTTAGTCGTCTCCCTAGCCTCCTAATATTTCCTTAAAGACGACTGTGACCACACCAGGGAATAGATGCAGGAAGAAGGAAGAATGGATGCTGCAGAACCAATTTTGGAATGGGGCTTACAGTGAAACAGACAAGAGAGATGGTGGGCTAAGCAGGGCAGGAGAAAGGCGTCTTCCTTCTGTGTTCAGATTAGCATTTAGATGGCTAGTTTGGGGGTTTTAAATGTTAGAATAACCCAGCACTATAAAGATTTTTTTAATTTTAGAAATCTTCTCATTACATAGCAAAAAAAAAAAAAAAAAGTCTCAAGTCTTAATTGCCTTGCAAAGATTATAGACATCTTCAGGACAGATAAATCCCCAGTTGTCCCAGGATGAACGTCTACCATGGAAATGCCACATACTGTTTTAAAATTGTGCAGAATCCAATACGTGAACAGTTTTCTAGGGAGGAAAAATACACAAGCATAGTTCATCAGAAATCCATGAAAAAAGGAGAGGGACAAAAGAGCATTTGGTTCAATGACAGTTCTCCTTCTGTTGCCATGAGCTTCATGAGATCTAGGGGCTTAAAGGAGGATCCCCGAGCCTGGCAAGGAGAACAAAATCAACTGATTTTATGGATTCCATTTTCATAGGCAAACCAGTGTATTATTGTGGAAGTGTGTTCTGCCTCCCCTCAGATGTACCCATCTTCTTCTATACAAAGTTGCTAGGGCAATATTAAGTCTTATCACAGCATTGAGTTGGCCCTGGTACCCTGTGTCGAGTTCTCTCACATTTGTCACAGCAAATGATGACAATCCCATCTGCCAGGCATATGGAATTGGTGGTGCTCAGCAAATCTTTGTCCCAGCCTGGCCCCAGAGAAGGTTTTGAATTGTCTTGTAAGCCCTCTTTCCTCTCTCGTGCCCTTACTGCACTGTCTACCGTGGCAGCTGTGGAGTCAGCCTACCTAATTAATGATGTCTGCCTTCATCTGTCAACTATACTGTGAGCCTCTGGAGGCGGGGATAGAGCCACGTTTGTCTTGACGTTAATCTTGGCATTCCCTTCCCCTGGCCTTCAGCTGGGGATTGGAGCACCCACCTCATCCAGAGCCGTCATCTCTGGCTTGTTTTAGTGGCCTCACCTGTCATTCCCTAACAGCTCCGTGTGTGCAGCTGCCAAAGTTCAGATGAGATGAACAGAGAATAGAAATTTTGTGCTACTGTTGACCTGGCAAGCAGAGCTTATTAGACTTTATTGTTTGGATTGTTGCTTCCTTTGAGTGATACTTTGACAGTTTAGATTAATAAAAGCCACCCATTTGTGTGTGTGCATACTCTCTACTTTGTTTTGAGATGGGTCTGTTTCCATGCTTTTCCATGGGTGCTGGGGATCAGAATTTAGGTCCTCATCCTTGAGCAGTAATTCCTTATCGCACGGGACTATCTCTCCAGCCCTGTAGTTAACACATTGAATGAGCTCTTCAGGTTAGTTAGCTGTGGTTTTCTGCAGGTAATACTAGTCTCATAAATAGGCTGTGGTCAGTTTCAAACACGTAGCTAAACTAATAGCATGGTCTTCCATTTAAACTAGAGGTAAGAGTCAAAAGTCTGTGGCTCTGGCTGGAACAGCCCAGATGTTTGGTTGACAGGATTATGGAAGAAGTTCTGGTTCTTGACTGCTGATGGTCAGGACACCCATAAGAGCCTCGTTGCCTGCAGAACTCTTGGGAGCTTGGATAGTTAAAGATAGCCATGTTTTTAAATTCATTGTTGACTCCACTGTAGGTTTTGTGATGCTTTGAGCATTGTTTTTTGTACCTATGTCTCACAAGTTTGGTAAAAAGGTCCAGGATTGTTCCCTGTGGAATGGGAGTTAGGAATAGATCTGTCACTGAGAGCCAGATGAAGAAAAAGACCTCTCATCTCAGGCTTCTAGCTTGTTTAGTCTTGGATGCAAAAGCACCGACATAGGGGGAAATTATGCTGGAACAAGCTTCTCCAGAGAGATCCCATGCAGTCTGTGGTTCATTATTCCATCATCTGCTTGGACATTTTTCAGGTCAGCCGTAACTTTGAGCTGGTTGGACGGGTTAACTTGGATCAGCTGGAACAGATGAAGGAAAAGATGGAGAGTTCCAGCAGCGATGACGAGGACAAGGACGATGAAATGAGCAGCAAGGCTGAAGACAGAGGTTAGTCTCACCCTGCCCTCTGAGTCCCAGATGGCACCCAGAATGTCCACGATGAGACAGAAGGGAGGCAGGAGGCTGCAGTGAGAAAAGCAGAAGGAATGATCCTTCTTGGTTAAGTAGCAGAACAGACTGGCTTAGACACCGTCAGAGGCCCTGCCTTACAAACTATTACCAGCTACAGAAACTCCAAGGAAAACATTTTCTTCCTAGAAATGTTTGCTAAAGGGGAAAAAAATATGGTTCCTAGCAAGGGAAAGCTAGTTCTGAAGAACCTTCAAAATAAAGATAGGCAATGAGCAAGCTGAATGACATTGCAGGGCTATCAAGGAGCAAGAGTAAACATGGGATTGCACAAACCTTTAAAATGATTGCTGGTAGGGTCATAGTGAAAGGCTGCAATGAATTTGAATTCTATACATGTCCCCCCTGGGGCACCTTTCTCTTAACCCCTTAGGGCTCTGGTTCCATTCTATCAAGAGGGAGAGACAGTGTTTCCCATCCTTCCCTATATATGCAGAAAACACCAGCAAAGGTTCTGTGGAAGTTTTGAGCTATTTTTACAACCCTTGCCATTCAGGCATCATTCTAAGATTTAAAAAAAAAAAAAAGATTCCAACATGTGTTTAGTTGCAGATGACATGTTTATGAAATGCAGAATGTCACCCCTGTTGGCTGGATGGAGGGTTGCAGAGAGGAGGGCTTAGCAGCTAAGAGTGCTTGCTACTTTTGAAAGAACCTAAGTTCAGTTCCAAGTACCCATTTCTGACAGCTCCCAACCACCTGTAACTGTGGTTCCACGGGATCAGACTATGGTTCCTGTGCTCACGTACACATACCCACACACATCCTCAAAATTAAAAAGAAAGGATGTAGGTTGGGATATGTTCCTTCAGTTACTGCAGACTGAGAAAAAGTTCATGTGTGGTGACTGTAAATATGAGGAAAAGGCATTGTAGCTACCACGAATCCAGTGATGGGAAATCCTCTTAGTGGCCATTACTGAGTGTTGTTGTTTCTTTAGTCTTTATGTCCCTGAAGGGTTCTACAGTCACCCATTCAGATCTCCGCCCCCAGTATACAGGACTTTGCTTATGCCTTTGTGAGATCACCAGCTGTCAAATAATGACAGTGACGATGATAATACCCATGTCTGTTTCCTAAGGTGGCCAATATACAGATTTTGTTTTTTAACTTAAAAAGTTCAGATTTTGAACTTTCATATTTTCTTTGGTTTTAATTGACAAAACAAAAGTATGTATTTGTGGTGTTTTAGAATAGGTGTACATTGTGAAATGGCTAAATTGAGTTAGTTAAGTTTTCCCTTACATATTTGTCTTGGGAAGTAAGAACTTAATCAACTGAGGAATTCGCATTATTAATTATAGTCACCACTATACAATTGATGTCCTAAAGTCATTCTTCCTGTCTACCTGAAATTCAGTGTCTGACCAGCGTGTCCCTAGCTCTCCATCCCTGGGCTTTGTAAGTGTCTATTCCACTCTCTGCATCACTGAATTTTCCTTGGTATCTGGTTTATTTCCTCATCCATGTCATCTCAGGTGACAGGGTTTCCTGTCTTAAAGTGAATGGTATAAATAGTTTACCAATGGGTATGTGCATCACATCTTCTGTAGCCCTTATTCTGACATGGATTCTGTGTCTTTGTGGATAGAGCTGGAGTGCAGGCATCTCCTCGGTACACTTCTTCATTTTCTTTGTGTGTCAACCCAGTAGTGAGATTGCTGTGGAACTTATAGTATTCCATAATGGCCACCCTAATTCATATTCCTATGTTACTGCTAGTCAACTGTGTCGTTCATTTCTTAGCTTCACCAACATTTGTTAATCTTTCCCTCTGGGTACTAGATGACCTAACTGCTAGGGAGCAGTACCTAAGGTTTAAATTTGCTTTTCCCTCCTGTTTGTGATTCGGACTGCCTTTATGAAGCTGATGTCTGTTTGCATATTTTGAGAAATGCTTATACAGAGCCTTTGTCTATTTCTTAATTGGGGAAATTATTCACTCAAGTATTGTCTGAGTTGTTTGAGTTCTTCATACACCCAGGATGTTGGCCCTGTGACAGGTGTATAGTCTGCAGTTGTCATCTCCCCTTCTGTGGATTGTCTTTTCATTGTGGTGTCTCCTCAGAAGTTCAGAAATTTTCCAGCTTGATTTAGCTCCCATTTGTCTAATTTTTTTTTTCTTGTGCTTTGTGAGGGCCATGTAAAAAAGAAAAATTACAAAAATCATCTTCAGACCTATCTACAGACCAGTGTCATGAAGGGTTCCCTGTATTTCATTCCAGCAGTATTTACAGCTTTAGGGCTTACATTAACGAAGTTTCCCTGTGTTTCCTTCCAACAGTGTTTATGGCTTTAGGAGTTACATTTCAATCTTACTTATTTTGAGGTTTTCTTTTTACTTGTTGGGCGATCAGGATCTAGTTTCTTTCTTCTGCCTGGGATGCCCAGTTGTCACAGTAATTATTTATGGGACTATCTTTCCTCCATTGTGTGATATTGGCAACTTTCTCAAAAATCAATTTACTGTGTGTGATTTACCTCTGGACTCTGTTCTGTTCCAGTGGTTCATGCACCTGCTTTTAGTGTCATGCTGTTTTCATTACCTTAGCTTTGAAATGTATCTTAAAAATCACAGAATGTAGTGTCTTCTTCTTCTTCTTCTTCTTCTTCTTCCTTCTTCTTCTTCCTTCTTCTTTTTTCTTCTCCTCCTCTTCTTCTTTTCTCCTTCTCCTCCTTCTCCTTCTTCTTTTTCCAGAAAGGGTTTCTCTGTATAGCTCTGGTTGTCTTGGAATTTGCTCTGTATGTAAACTAGGCTAGCCTTGAACTCAGAGATTAGCCTGACTCTGTCTCCCAAGTGCTGGGATTAAAGGAGTGACTACCACCACCTAGTTTCAAACTTCATATATTCTTTACTCTAGATTACTGTGGCTCTTTAGGGTCTTTTCTGGTCACCTTGGTATTATAAAGGTGAGGGCTAGAGATGTAACTTGTTGATAGATAGTATGTGCCTATTGTGTTTGAGGCCTTGGATTACCATCCCATCACTGCCGGAGACATTAAATGACGTGACAGCCAAGGCATGAACCTATAAATAATAGGTCTGACAGATTTATGACCTATTGGTCATAAACCAAGTGGGTATTGAATCTCAGTTTTCAGGTTCCAGAACACTGTACACATTTCCAACCCCTTTGAGTGATAGATAAAATCTTCTTCATTAAGAGAACCTAGCCATGAAATGGGGGGTGCACTGGCCCTGGGGCTAGATAAGGGCCCATGGCAGAATATCTGGCCTGCCTGAGCAGGTATCTTTCATAGGCCATTTTCTTCTGTGGTGTGCTTCTCACCCTCACCCTTCCAATATGATAACCCAGGGACCTAGTTTGGCCTTTGAATCTCCAACCAACCAAGACAACAAGAGTCTAATGGCCAAGGTGTGCTAACTAGTCAAAAGCTGCTTGCCCAGCTGCATGGCCAGCCTGAAAGACTACTCAAACCAAACTGCCTCACCTGTGGGTCATGTCATGTCATTTCTTCTAAGGGAAACACATGTGATCTCAGAAATGTGGCTTTTTTTTTTTTTTTTTTTTTTTTTTTTTTCTCCTCTTTTGAAAAAAAAAAAAAAAAAAAAAAAAAAACCTTTTCACAAATGTTCTTCTCAACAAATTCTTAACATCTCTGCACTGTTTTGAATGTCCTCATAGAGGACGCTTCTGACTGAGAGCACAAAGACCCCTTTTTATTCCTGGTACTCTGTGGCCTTGCTGTCCCTCTTTAGGAGATAAAAGATCCCTTATTGGGTGTTATGACTTTTTCATGTCTAAGGCTGAGCACACGCTATTTTGAGGCCATCAGTATTCCAGAGTCTTCTGTTTCCCCAGTGATGTCCCCCAAAATAGATAATAAAATAAGCATAGCCCATGAAGAAGCACAACCAGTGAGGTGTGTCGGATAGCAAACACACCTCCATGCCTGTCCAGCTTGGCCTCCCTTCACTGCTTGAGACCAGATGTAACCAGAGAGAACTGTGGGGCTTCTGCTTCTCACTGGAAACTATTGTGTCTTCATTCACAAGACCTAACCATATGAAGCAAAAGGCCTTCTCTGGTTGGTCTGGGGGACTGACCTGAGTGCTTTGGGAACTGCAAGCTGAAACTGTCCCTTCCATGTCATCCATCCTTGCAAGAACAACTTCCTTTGTCCCATCTCCCTTGAAACAATCTAGAATCAAATCTTCCATCTCAGTAGATTCTTGCCAAAAAAAAAAAAAAAAAGCCTGAGGTGTTTTTGCCAGATATCCTGGCTTCTGGCAGAGGGCAAGAGGAGGGGGTATGAGCTCAGCTCTCAAGCTGGGGGAGAGTGATTTGAGATGTGACAGGTAGAATGGCCTCTTCTTTGAGGGCGAGTTTAGCATGTGCCCTTGGAGACAATAGAGGACTGGCTTCATGTTTCCTGAGGGCAAAGGAGCAAGTACTAGCAACATTGTCCTTGTAAGTAATTTGGGCTGTCATAATGGATGCCTTCTTTGGGGGAATCTACAGCCTTCCTCCTACCCAGTTCCTTTTCAAACAAGAGCTAGGGAGCATACTCAACACAGATGCACAGCAAGATTGGCCTGGGAAGCTCAGAGGGAACTGTAGAGAAAAGCCAGGCATGAAGAAATTGAAAGGAACCCAAGCAGAACTCTGCCCACCCCACCCCCTCTCATTATGCAACTGGGAGGAGTCAGGAAGGCATTCTGTTGATTTCTTGCCCAAGATAATCCCTGCTAAGGAATTAATGCGCAGAGCAGATGGTGCTGTCTCATTTCCAGTGAAAAGAATCAAGGAAGATAGTCTGTGCAATTATTTTTAATGGCTTGTATGGTGATCTTCTTAATTTGTGAGAAAATGTCTCCTCTTTTGTGAAAACTGGCCTTGTTCACATAGCTTTTTGTCAAGAGGACGAAGGCGTCACAGAGCCCCAGTTAATGTCTTGAAGATTTCGTGAAAGATGGGGCATAACCACGAGATGGCTTCCTGTGACATCTAATCTGTGAGGCCAGGATCAGAGACGAAGAAGATCAAATTTCCTTAAATTCTACCGTTTTTTACAGAATGGCTTACTTGGCCCTCTGTGGGCTAATGAAAGGCATATGGGCTTAGGACCCAGGATAGCACAAAGGCCGCATAAGCCCTCATCTTTGAGCTTGCCAGGAGGTGTGGCTTAAAAACAATTAGCTAAACAATCCCCATTTATCAGACCCCTAACATGTGCCAGTATCACAGGAGTAAACAAAACAGCTAGGTCAATATTTGATGTGTACACCAGACCCATTCAGAAATGTCTTTGTATCCCTGCATTTGTGTATACCCCTGGTTGAGAAATAGTGGGCAGCTGACCAGGTTCCATCACTGGCTGGGGACATGCTTTTTTATTATTTTTATTATTACTATTGCATGTGTTCATTTATTGCATGTGTGAGGTCAGAGGACAACTTGTAGGAGTTGCTTGTTTTCTTCTCCCGTGATATGGGCTCTAGGGAGTAAATGCCAATCATCAAGCCTGGTAGCAAGCAACATTAATCCACTGAGCCATCTCACTGACGCAGAGACACTTTTATATAGACCCCCCATCCCCACTTCACAGTTGTCTAGGGCCCCCGTTCACAGGAGGGGCCCTAACTACCCTGCCAAAGTGTTGTAGGCATTGTGAAGTTTCGAACTCAACTTGGGAGGAGTAAAAAGGCCCATGGTCTACACTGTACGACCAGGTTTGGTGTTTCCTGTGGTCTATTGTCTTTTTAGTGAAAAGATAAACCTGTTCCGGAGACACTGAGTAGCTGCCAAGCTGTCAAGCCCTCAACCAGAGAACGCAGAAGGGATGAGTTAATTGGAAAAGGAATGCTGTGGGATCTTAGAGTAGGCCCAGGAGCCTTTTCTGGCAGGAGGGTTGTTGATGGTAGAAGCTATTGCATAAGTGATAAGTAGAGAGCCTTGGTGACTGGAACTGGAGACAGTTCCTGAGAGCTATTCAGGAAGTGTGCTTAAGAGAAACCCTGAGGCAGGGAAGTCTGGTGATGGCTTGCAAAGTAACTTCCCAGGTAAGTCAGGAGATGCTCCCCAGTGCGTGTTGACTCCCAAGCACAAAGGTAAAGCTGGCCCTTTCTTTCTGTTTGCAGAGCTGATGAGATTTTCTGACCGAGGGACTGGTGTGAACCCTGAGAAGCGATTTCCGTGTGAATTCTGTGGACGGGCATTCTCTCAGGGCTCTGAGTGGGAAAGACATGTGTTGAGACATGGCATGTAAGTATGGTCCTAAGAAGACCTTTGCCCACATGAGAGAGTGGGAGGGAGCTGTGTAGACCAGCCTAATCATTGCCACCTCACAGGCATGGAAGACAGGCAGTGATGACGGAGGGGCTAGATTCTTCCTCAGTTTTTAAAGTTGCCACCCCAACAGAAGTCAGGGGAAGGGAATCCTGTACTCAAGGGTAGTGTGCCCCTTTAGTTTGCATTTACGACACATTCTCTGATACAATGGGGATCTGGCGCTGGGTTTCTGCTTCCGTGTCTGCTCAGTTCTATGAATGGCCTTGATCATGCCTGTGACTTAATTCAGAGACACAGCTCCATTCCACCTGCCTTGCTGTCACGTTCTGACCACTCACTTCTTTGAACATAAAATTGTTCTCGACACAAGTAGCCCTTAGTCCGCCAGCCAGAGAGAACTAAGTTGTGGTTTGTGTGAGTTGCCCATAGTGTCTAGACCTGAAAATATAACCAAATTTCTCAAAATGTAGGGTGCTGCCTGCAGGTTTTTAGGTTTTTGTGTGTTTGGATGATTTATTAATAGACTTGACTAATCTTCAATACTCCTTTTATCTTAATCATTACTGGCCAATACCAAACTTCTGAGTTCAGCTGATGAATTTGAGTGTGAGGCAGTTCTTGCCATTTTCCCACTATATAGCTCAGAGAAGGGGACGATATAAAAATACTATATTAATTTGGAAGCAAAACATTGTATAATCAAACCATGGTGCAACATTGAATATTTTTAGGGATCCAAATTGTTAGAGGTCTACATGACATAGAAAATCACTGGCGATTTAGTTATATACACATAGAATTGCAATGCTATTTTAGAGTCAGAAGTAAGGGCAGATGAGTTGTTAGTTTAGTTGTAGAAGGCATGCGAGGGGCCATGGCCGTCACTCAGCTAATAAAATGCTTGGTGTGTGTTTGTAATGCCAGCTCTGGGGAGGCAGAGACAGAAGGATCCCAGCCTACTATATTGACCTAGCCAGTGAGAATACCCTATCTCAAAACAAAAAAGATGATGCCTGGGGAATGACCGCCACCGCCAAGCTTGTGCCTGGCCTCCAAAAAGCCTGTGCACCCAGCTCCTGACCGCTGTCTCTCCTCCTTCAGTGCTGGACTTAGAGATGTGCCACCACATCTGGCCTATGAATGTTTTTGTTGTTTGTTTTGCTTTTCCAGGGCATTGCATGATACCAACCAAGTGAGCAGAGACGAAGTCCATACGAAAGAGATGGTAGAGGATAGTATGCAGCTGCCCTCCATAGAGGCAAAAGAAGACGATGAGCCAATCGGGATAGACTTTTCCCTAAAGAGTGAAGCCGTAGCCATCTGTGTAGTAGCTGCCGACAAATCTCTCCTGGAGACTGCAGAGGCCAAAACGAATAAGAGTGTGGTGAAATTCTTATCAAATCTTACTTGAACCGTGATGAAAATGTGGGAGGGCCGGCGTGGGCTGAGAAGGGAGGGGGCAGAGAAGACAGAACAAAAGCTGCTTTTAGGACTGAACAATCTATTTTCAGGGCACTGGTACCTGTGTGAGTGAGGATGTAAATTAAAGTTATTTAAATGGTTGGAATATGTGGCTCCGTTCCCGTCACGCCATCCTTCCTTCCGGATCTTCACCACGCAAGTTTTCATCTGCTGCAGTTTGGGAAGTACGTTCCTCGAACACAGCGGGCGCTCACCGTGACCCTCGGACAGTGTGTGGCAACCGAAGCTCGGGGACAGTAGAAGACTTCTCCTAGGGGAACAACTTTTTGGGCGCACAACTTTCAGTGCGTTTTTATAGTTTTAATACCTTAAGCTTTTTCAAGACCTAACTGCAGCCGCTTTGGGAGAAAAAAAAAAAATAACAGAACAGAAAACAAACAAACAAAAAAACTGCTTTGCATAAAACAGTCACCTGTTTCCTAGTACCTCAGACTTAACCAAGGGAAATCTCTGCATTTGTCTTTACTACCTGTCACCCTTGTGGTTAAATGTGGAGAGAGCTGCTGGACAGGATGGTGAATGGAGAAAAAGAGTTTTAAAGAAAGGAACACAAATTGTGCTTAAAATCCCCACGTGGGTTTTATTTCTTAAAATACTGTGATTTTTTTAATTATTTTAGTAAAAAACAAAACAAAAAAAAAAGAAACAGACTTTAATTACTAGATAACTGTGTGTGAATTGTCACCCTGTATTCCAGGTAAGCTGTTTATTAGTGTTCAGCTATAATTTAGAATTTGGTAGGTTCATGTGAACTAATTTTAAGGTGATTGTGGGGTTTTGTTGGCCACATGTTTATTTTCTCTCAATTTGAGTGTTACAAACACAGCACAAATTCAGTTTTTTTCATATATAAATTGTTCTTTGTGCATTTGTTTTTAATTTGAGGTCAAGGGAGAGTTACAGGATTTGTGTGCGTGTGTGTGCATAGGAATTTTTATAATTTTGAACATGGAAATAAAAAGAGGTTAACTTCCCTTTCTGTTTTGTTTTTAATTTAACTAAAGAACCAAACCCCAGCCCAGCTATGCAGTGTGTGGGTCAGTTAAAGAGGCCCTCTGACCCTTTCGTTTCTTCTCATACAAACACCAACAATTTCTGTTCGATTGGGCTAGCTTTCATGTGTGATTTGAACTCTTGTGTTTTGGTTGCTTTGTGTATTGTGAGGCTTTCTTGTTCCTTTTGGGAGCCATCCCTTTCAGAGCATGGGCAAGAGATCCTATAGGGAGCCATCTTTCCATCTAGCTGTTCTGTTTCTGTTTCCCCACATTAGCTTTTTTTTTTTTTTTTTTTTTTTTGGAGACAGCAGCTTAGACTAAACGTAGACTACACATTTATAGTATGTTCTGATTGTGAACAGGGGTTTCTTTCCAAAAAGTAGAGAAGTGTCTTTTTAAAGCTTAGGTTTTAGAAGCGTGTGAGTGAGTGAGTGTGTGAGTGAGTGTGTGTGTGTGTGTGTGCGCGCGCACGCGCGCGCATCCACATACATGTACAATGAATGTGTATGGGCCAGTGTCAGTCCTTTATCGTGTCTCCTTTTTTGTTTTGGTTTTTGGTTGGTTGGTTTGGTTTTTCTTTTTTTAACGTGGAAGGGTTGTTGGGTTGGGGGGCGGGCCAGGAGGGATGAGGGATGACTGAGGTGACAGTGTCCCACATAGCTTCAAATAAAATCCATGGAAAGATGCTCAACTTGTGAAGTAAGTACTTACTTGAAAAGCATGTTCTTGTTTTTTGTTTTGTTTTGTTTTTATTAGAATTTTTATTTGTAGGATGTTAATTTAATATTTTTTTAGGGATGGGGGCCATCGTGTGGAAAGCAAAAGTATGGAAAGTGAAATATCTAGACAGATTCTTTTGTGTCCTTATTTGTTTCTGATTGGCCTCATTCAAATGTACTAAACGGTTTCATATCTAGATTGGATGTTTGTGATGGTTACCAAAACAACGAAGGGAAACAAAAAGAGAAACAATTGTGACATGCTTTTATCTACTTTATTTTTCAAATAACATGTAAATATTGTAATCCATTGGATTTTGTTTTGCTAACCTGTTAATAAAAATATGGGACCATTATCCTTTTAACAAGGCTAGAATGTCATTTTATTTCCTTTTTCAAACATATACCTGATATTTTGTGGCCGCACATTTTGGATGCATTGTTTCTGTTGACTGTAATGACATATAATTTACAACTTTTTTGTTGTTGTTGTTTAATTTATACAGAGGACATTTTTTTTTCAGAGCTTGAGAGAAGAAAATAAATAGCAAAATGATAACCTATTGACTCCAATAATCAGTGTTTCCTGAAACTTCATGAAAGACAGAGGGATCCTGACACAAATAAAAATAAAAACCACAAGTAGGCTATTCAAGTTGTTTGCAACATACATTTTGTAATGAAATGTGAGAAATTAATAAAGAATTTTTTTCACATGTGTCTATGTGCATCTGTTGTAAGTCATTGATGGGTGTGATTACAGACAGGAAGGCTGGCGTGAGTAACAAAACCTGTCGTCAATCTACATACTGATGTGGAGATCAGGGTGAAGTGTGTGAGCTGGAGTTTAAAATGTCAACATTCCTGCATCAGAGTATGCAACACCAATGAAAATTTTATGGAGGGAATGTTTTCCACCAAAAAAAATGAGAATCATTTGGTCGTGGTAGCTCACACCTGAAATCTCAGCATTTGGGAAGCTGATGCAGAAGGATGACCACAACAACTCCCCCACCACCATGTACAACCCCCAAAATAAATTGGGAATCAAAATGGAGCTTCAGGAGCAAATGCCAATACTGGAAATCATCCATGAACTGAGGCCATGATAAGTCACATCCCCTGGAGGATCCTGATGGTCACCCTCACCTCATGCTGCATGCTCTCTTACTGTGTATTAGGCACAGATCATGACGGTTCCTTTAGTGTTTTTAAAGCCACCCTATTAGAAGCCAAAGGAGGAATTAGTCACACTAATACCCTGGTTGCCTCTCTTCCTTAATGTTTTGTATGCCCTTAGCCAATTTGGAGTTAAGAAATGAGATGATCAGAAGTCACAAGGCTGTATGTGACGGAAACAAAACCAGACAGTAAGGATGCCAAGGGATGGTAACTCTGTGTTGACAAAAATACAATTTGGGAAACTATATAGACTCCAACGAGTGCCTGGATCTGAGCTCCCCTCAGGCAATGCAAAACAAGGATCAATCAATAAAAATCTTTTATTTTTTTAACTTCTTAAATGGGCTTTCTCCATACAAAACTGCTGTTCTCCAGTGACTTCCATCAACAGTTATGAGTGACTTCCATCAACAGTTATGAAGTGTCTTTAACTGAGTTTATGTCTAACCCATGCTTCTGCCTTGGGCCTGGTAGGGGCCACAAGACAGTCTGATGCCTCTGGCTTAGCATGGTAGAGGTCTGATTCAATTCTGTGTAGTGGTCTTCCTCTTTTTCACCTGATGACATGATGATGCTCCATCATAGCACAGAAATAACAGGGTCACCGTGGGAGCTTAGCATAGCAGCACTCTGCCAAGGCAATAGCACACATACTTTATGGGATAGACCTAGTCACAGCCCCAACTATCCACATAGGGGCTGGAAAGTGTCTAGTCTAGGCTCCCAATGAGTCCAGGAAGAATGTGAGCTATGAGCTTCTGCAACGAAAAACAGCAACAGGATACATGGAAACCTTGTATTCAAAAACACAAGATGCTGGTCCCATCAGCCAAGTGCTTATACAACATTACTTAGTGGGTATTTGGTGCTAGCAACTGGATGATAGACAGACACGGCTCCAGTCTTTTGACAGCTTACAAATGAGGGTGGAAATGTGAGATATGGAAAGGGAACTTCATCAAAGGTGTTGGATTCTAGTGGACCCTTCATTTATCCTTAGGAAGCTTTGGGCCTCTGTGTTGATGCAGCTGACCCTCTATATACTGCCCTTGAGAGTAAATTTGTTTTCTTCCTGCCTCTTAGAGGAATGCCTCTGGGTTAAGAAGGCACATGGCATATCTATTGAGTGAGCCTTCAGTGCTATGCTTAAGCAAAGGCTACATCTCATCCCCTTGTCCCTCCTTTTCATTTTGCCCACTGCTGGGACATCACTCTTTGGAATGAACTTAACAAAATCAAGTACTTCATGCCTTGTACAAGCAAGCAAACTGGAAACTAAGACTTTCTTTTTAACTAGGTGTGGTGATGTAGATGTTTGTTCCCATCACTCAGAAGGCAGACAGATCTCTTGAGTTCCAGGTCAGCAAGTTCAGGCAACTCAGGGATATGGAATGATACCTTGTCTCTAAATAAATAAATGCATTTTTATAGTTCTTAAAAAAGTATCAGCTGGGAGGAAGGAATTAAAGTCACTTTAGTCCCTCCCACATTCATATCCTGGAGTGTTTTCTAGCCCTTTTGTTGTTGGTTTCTCCTTCCATGGTTCAAATAGGATGAATAGGAGGGTGGTGGTGGCATACAACTTTAATTCCAGCACTTGTGAAACAGAGGCAGGAAAATCTCTTGAGTTCAAAGCCAGCTTGGTCTATAGAGTGTTCCAAGACAGCCAGGGGTGCACATAGAAACCCTGTCTTAAGAAAACAAGTAAATAAATATGAATAGTTTTACAAAATTCTTTCCACTTCATGGTGTAAATATTTTTCATGTTTCTTATAGTTTTCGAAAATAGAAATGTTTCAGACTGCATAGCATATTGGATAATAGAAATGAGTATGTATAATCTGCAGTCCCTAAGAATTACTGAATATTCAAGCTTAATGTTTTTTATATTTTACACAATAATGCTGTTAACATTTTGTCACCAACTTCCTAACCTGCCCAAGTTTCACTAAGTAGTATTGTCTTAGAGCTTCCATTGCTGTGACAAAACATTATGACCATGAGCAACTTGGGGAAGAAAGGACTGATCTTACACTTCCACACCACAGTCCATCCTGGAGGAAGCCAGAGCAGGAACAGAAGTAGAGGCCATGGATACACAAAACAGAGGGCACTGGTCAGTACTAGATTTAAATCAGGTCACCCACACTCAAGCATCAGTTGACCCATTTATTGTGTATCTCTTGGGCAGGTTACTTAAACCATGTACCTTGCTGTATATATTATTATTGTTGTTGTTTTGTTTTTGCTTTTTAAGTCGGGGTTTTTCTGTGTAACAGTCCTGGCTGTCCTGAAACTTGCATTGTAGACAAGGTTGGCCTTGAACTCACTGAGATCTGTCTTCCTCTGCTTTATTTTTTAAACGAACATGCAGAATTCAACATGCATCTTGGTTGCTTTTATTTTTATTGTTCTTTTAAATTTTCCACATATTTCTGCCCAGCAAATTTATTTATTCATAACAAAGAGACTAGACGTTCAAATTCAGCTGTCTTTAGAATGTTGAGTCTTCAACACAAGTCTACTTCAATAGAAAGGGAAGAATTCTTGCCTATTCTGCAGTGTGCAGGAGCAGATTGTAAACCCTGTTACCAAAGCCTGCAAAGCAACACATAACAAAATTATTTAGAAACATGGAGGAAGGGAACCAGTGTGACTGCTCAGCAGGTACATACTTGTCATACAAGCAGATGGCCTGAGTTTGAGCCTGAAACTCATGTAAAGACAGAAGGATAGAACTCATACAATAAATTGTCCTCTAGCACCCAACATGCACCCCCACAATAATAAAAAGATAAAATATTTTAGAAGATAAGTACAGAGGAAAACCTCTGGGGTCAGGGATGTAGGAAAGAGGCTGCATTCATAAAAAGGCATCTAAATGATGGGTAGGATATATACCAGGAATAAAGAGGGATCGAGAGGGGCCATTGAAGGCAGACAAAGAGGCAAAATGTTGTCTGGTACAAGTAGTGTTAGGTGACCCACACAAGGAGTCCCAGAGCCAGATGACCACAGAATTAACTCATTAAACCAATGAATATCACGCTGGGGATTTTTACTATAAAGAAGTAGAGATGACCATTGGAACTGTAAACCCAGTAAGGAAGTTTAACCAAGGTATTGACAGGTTTAAGAAAGAGTATGTTTCGGGGGAGGGCCTAGGCCCTGCTCCAAATGATAGGACAGACTTTGAAGATCCCCCATGGAAGGCCCTCCTTGGGGAGCAGAAAAGGGATGGGATAGGGGGTTGGGTGGCACAGGGGAGAAGGAGAGGGAACTGGGATTGATATGTAAAACAAGAGGGGTAGAAAGACTGT